GCCGGGGCATTGCGGTCGAGGGCGCGGGAGAGATCACAGGCACCGACGATCAGAATCGCTGAGCTTGCTTTCCAGCTCGCAGGGTGGCTGTGACTCAGTGGCTGGCGTCAGCGTCCAAGATGCCGCGCGACCAGCTCGGTTGCCCGGGCAGGGGGGGTGGCCTGATCTATTCAGAGGATAGCGTGCCAGGGCGACGGGCGCGATAGTGTCTTCGACGTCTTGGGCATCGCCATCCGGATGGGGGCGTCGGGCTTTGACGGGAGAGGGAAGTTTACACCGTGTATCTCAAGGGTGACCCCAGGGCGGTGGGCACTGCGCGCAAGTCATCGGTCGGTCTCCCGTCGGGCCAGTCTGCGCCGTCGAAGGAGAGTCTGCAGCTCGAGCAGCAGACGTGGCAGTTTCGGCGGCGGGGCAGCTGGCAGGGGAACCCGCGTGGCCGGCCACGCGCAGGCGCCGGTTGCCCCGGCTCTAGGGGGCGCTTCCGGCCGAGGCCGCAGGCCCGGCGAGGCCGGGCAGGGTTCACCCGCCACCGCCGGCTCGCGAGGAGGCGAGTCCGTCGAGGGCTGGGGCGCCGAGGTCACCGAGGGCGCCTGCTCAGAAGGAGATCGATGAGCGCGAGGCGTCCAGGCGCGCTGTCTTTCGGGCGTGGCGTTCCACGCGTTGTGATGGGCGCTGTTGCGGGCGACCGCGTCTTTAGGTCCTTCGTGATGAAGTGGTGGAGATTCCGGTTGTTCTTATGGACTTCGGGCGCCCGCTATCCGGGTCGGGCGCGGTCCAGGACGACCAGGTCAAGAGGATGTCGTTCGCATTCTGGTGCTGTCGCAAGACTTGACGTTATGAAACGACTGCCGTGCCCAGCAAAGGTATTTGAGAGTTCGTCGCGCGGTCGCGCCCAAATGTCCCGGTCTACCTGGGGCGCGAGAAATTCGTCCCAGGTCAGATGGAGAGGAAGCGATGCTTTCGCTCGAGAAGGCTATCGTGGACAAGTGCGAGGGTGAGGGCCGTCGTCGTGCAGCCGACGAGGGCTGCAAGACGGCCCAGGAGGGCCCCAAAATGGCCGAAGAGAGCCCCAGGACGGCCCAAGAAGGGGCCCAGAGGGGGTCCCCGAACGGACATTTCAAGCTCTCCGCCCCTGCAGGTTCCCAGGAGTCTCCAAGAGGCCCCCAAAAAGCTCTCCAAGAGGGCTCAGAGGTCCCCCAGAGACCCCAGAGAGGCCCCGAGACCACCAAAAAGCTCCCAGGAAGCCCCACAAGGCCGTCAAGAGCCCCCCCCCCAGACGCCCCGAGGCATTCCTGACGATCCTCGACGCCGTCGCCGCCGCCACCGGCAGAACCTCCCGGTAGCGCCAACAAGGCCTCCGAGATGCCTCCCAAGAACTGCGCGCGTCATCTTATCAAGGGCTGGGCCGTACTAGAACCTAAGCGTGCGCGAAACGCGCGCGTGGTTCTAGTATGCAGGAAGGTCAAAACGACAATTTAGTCATAACTCCTTTTTGCCTTTTCCAGCATCGCCGCTAAAATGATGTTATTTGTTATCCTTTCTCAATGCTTCTTTTTCCTCGTTCTCGCCATACCCTGCACATTTTCCCCATCCTCCTCAGCTCTTTTTGCGGAGGCTCCTCCTTGGAGAGCCTCTGGGTACCTCACAAAAGTTTCAGGCTTTCTTAAGGCCTTCTGGAGCCCTCTTGGGCGTGTTCTGGAGGTTCTGGGGGCTTCCTCGGGCCACCCTGCCTCCAACCGCGGTCTCCCTGAACGACCGGGTCACGATTTAGAATGCTTCGCAGGGTGTCTTGGGGCCGTCTTGGGCCGCCATGGGCTCTCTTAGGGCCATCCTTGACCTCTGCTGTGCCGTTTTGGGGCTCTCTTGGACTGCCTGGAAGCCCTTTCGGATGGTTGTGGGGCGATTTTGGAGCCTCCCAGGCGGCTTCGGACGCCCAGAAGACTGCTGTATTGGAGCGTCGGGAAGCCGAAAAGAGGAAAACCCCCAAATTCACCAAAAACCAGCAACAAATCAATGATTTTCGCCTCTTGGGGCCTTCTTGGGAGTGCTCTTGGAGGCTTTTTGAGGCCTTTGGGGTCGTCCTGGAGGCCTCTTGGGCCATTTGAGGTCACGTCTGTCACTCTTGGAGCGCTCTTGTGCTGTCTTGGGGGTCTCTGGGACTTCTCCGATGGCCCTCCTGATCGCCCTAGGTGTGCTGGGAAGGCTTGGCAAAACGCCCTGCGAGGCCCGGGGGGCCGCTTCGAGGCCCGTCCGCACATATGTATATTTATATATATATATATGTGTGTGTATATATATGTATGTATGTATGTATGTATGTATGTATGTATGTATGTATGTATGTATGTATGTATATATATATATATATACACGTGTGTATGTATGTATGTATGTATGTATGTATGTATGTATGTATGTATGTATGTATGTATGTATGTATGTATGTATATATAAACATGTATATATGTGTATATATATATATATAGATCTCGCTCTATACAGAAAGAGGTAGAGCCAACGAACAGTGAGAAAGTGGGGTAGTGATGCAAATGCATGCGCACACATATACAGGTATATGTATATTATATAGATGCACGCGCGTACATCGAGATGGAGAGGGAGAGAGAGAGTGAGAGAGGGAGAAAGAGAGAGAGAGAGAGGAACAATGCATAAACATATATGTACACACGCATAAAGAAAGAGAGACATTGAGAGAGGGAGAGGGAGAGCCTGAGAGAGTGAGACATATACATAGAGGGAGAACACGATATACAGAAATAAGGAGAAGAAGAGAGAGAGAGAGAGAGAGAGAGGGAGAGAGTGAGGGAGAGAGGGAGTGGGAGAGAAAGAGAGAGAGAGAGAGAGAGATAGAGAGAGAGAAGAGAGAAGAGAGAGAAAGAGAGAGAGAGAGAGAGAGAGAGAGAGAGAGAGAGAAAGAGAGAGAAAGAGAGAGCGAGAGAGAGAGACGTAGAAAGAGAGAGAGAGAGAGAGAGAGAAAGAGCGAGAGAGAGGAAGAAAGAGAGAACACGAGAAAGAGAGAGAGGGATAGAGAGAGGGAGAGAGAGATAACGAGAGAGATAACGAGAGAGAGAGAGAGAGAGATAGAGAGAGAGAGGGAGGGAGAGAGAAAGAAACAGAGAACGAGGAAGACAGGCATAGAGCGAGAGAGGGAGAGAGAGGGAGCGAAAGAGAGTGAGAGAGAGAGAGAGAGAGAGAAAGAGTGAGAGAGCGGGAGAGAGAGAGAGAGAGAGAGATACAGAGAACGAGAGAGAGAGAGAGAGAGAGAGAGAGAGAGAGAGAAAATAACAAGGAAGCGCGGGAGGGAGGGAGGGAAGGTGAGAGCGAGATAGCGCAAACGATGTATACGTGTGTGTATCTATGTACTTACATGGATGTAAATATACACATATATGCAGATGTGTGTGAATATTGAGGGAGAGAGAGGAACAAGAGAGAGAGAGAGAGAGAGAGAGAGAGCGGGAGAGAGAACAGAGAGAGGGATAGAGAGAGAGAGAGAGAGAAGCAACGCTCGCGCGAGATGAGTGCTTCTACAGAGAGATAGAGAAAGAGAATGAGAGAGAGAGAAAGAGAGAGAGAGAGAGAGAGGAAGAGAGAGAGGGAGAGGGAGAGAGAGAGAGAGAGAGATAAGTAGAGGAAGTGAGGAGTGAAGCGTCAGAGGAAGTCGGAGAGGGATGGTACTGATGCAGACGACGATGCGTACGAATAGCACGAATACGACCCTTATGATGCTGATGAGGATGAGGATGCTGCTGACGATTATGGTGATGATGGTCCCGACGGTGATGATGCTGCTTATGATGCAGATGCCGATCATGATCATGGTCGTGGTGATTGTTATGGTGATGATGATGATGATGATGATGATGATGGTGGTGGTGGTGGTGGTGGTGATGATGATGATGATGATGATGATGATGGTGGCAACGCTGCAGATGATGCTGATGCTACTGATGGTGATACGGTGGAAAGGAGGAGGAATCTGATGATGAGGAGGAGATGGGCGCGGATGAAATTGAGAATTGACCGATGATGAGGAGGCTTGCCAAGCCCTCTTGTATTCGCTTACCCTCACTCCCTCATCCTCCCTCCTCCTCCCGCCATTTTCCTTTTCCCCTTTCTTCTTCTCCCTCCTTCATCCGCTGCCCTCTTCATCCTCCTCCCCCTCCCCCTTCCTCATCTTGACAGATTTCGGCCAGCTGCACCGGACCGCCCCCAGAGGAACGCAAAGTATCCCAATCGCAATAGAAAAAGTGCCATGCCGACGTATAAGTGCGATAATTGTGCCATACAGAAATACGAAAGTACAGAAGTTCAGAAGTCCGAAGTGTGAGGAAAGGGGTGTGTGCATGTGTGTGTGTGTGAGATACTTGTGTCATATTGGTTTTACACTTCGCACTCTTCCAATATTGGTTCGCACTTTTCCCAACCCTCTTTCCACACTTTGGATGTGCGTTCGTACTTTGTTCACATTGTTGGCGGACTTTTTTCTGAACCCGTACTTCCGCGTTGCGCATATTTCACACTCGCGATTCGCGGACCTCGCCTGGCTCGTTCTGTCGACCCGTACATATTTTAGACTTACTTTACCCAAATCGAGGATCCCCTGGTCTGGCCGTCCCCGAATCTCATAATAATCCCCCTCCTTCTCCTCCCCCTCCTCCTCTTCCTCCCTGCTTTCCTGCTTCCTCCCTGTACCTCCTCGTTTCTCCTGCCCCATATGCGCCTCCCATGCCTGGCTGACCCTGCCTCCCCTGCCTTGCCTGTCTCCCTCGTCTCTTGCCCCTGCCCCCCCCCCCCCACCCAGGAGCAAGGCGAGAAAAAACATGAGAAGGAGCAGGGGGAGCACGACGATGCAGAGGAGGACGAGGCAGCAGGAGATGACGACGAAGAAGAGGAGATGACGAGGAGAACCAGCAGGAGGAGCAGGAGGAGCACGACGAGGAAGCCGCCCCCTATCCTGCCGTAGTTGGCCGCGCGAGGCCATGGAGCTCCAG